GCGATCCGGGTGGTTATTTTGGCAAAACCTCTAAAATGTGGTTATTTTGTGGCAAAGGGTTGTGTAAAACGGTTATTTTTATAAATTTCCCTTAAATTAAATAGACCATCATATATTTATTGTTTATATTCAATCAGATCTTAGTTTAAAAAAAATCGTCAATGAGTTTGTTTGATCAAGTATTTGGATAAACAGTTTATACTGATGCCAAACTGGTAATAAGAAGGTCTTTGAAGAAGTTAAACCATTCTGATAAGAACTTTTGTAGAAAAACATAAATTGTTTCAAATAAGCAATCCCAAACATCTACCCTTAAAATCAGATATAAAAGCATTTAAAGAGTTTGTTTGATCAAGTGGGTTGTACTTTAATTGCCATGGCATGGGTTGGGCATACCTAGAAAACCAAAAGAATGGGTATTTTAAGTGAGTGAGGTTTCATAGTACATATACAGATAGACCTACTCTCATTTAACATGTGATCCCTTCCAACTCCAAGTGTAAAGTAACAACAATCAAACTTTGATTCATTGCTACTCAAGATATATTATATTGCATCATATGCCAAAAGCTAAAAGGAAAAAAAAAACACAAATCTAAAGCATAGGTCACCGTTTTCAGTCCTTCAAGATCATTCAGGATTTTTTCAGGGTTTATGGGATTAGCCGAGTTGTGTACGAATTGGCCTAGACACTCAAGGTTAACAAAAAAAGATACAGCACAAATACCATCTTTTGAATCTACTTCAAAATGCGGTTACAACTTGGAAGCACAACCCCCCAAAAAATCTCAAATCTACAAACTAACAAAGTGTACCAAGTATTAACCGAACAAACATAGTGAGACAACTAGCAGTTAACCATATATATTCCAAATCAGACCAAACGAGCAAATATGCATATTTTTCGATAAAAACTTTGGCTTGTAAAAAGTGTACGAGAAGAAAAAATAGTATGCATCAAGCTCGACTAGTAGTGCAATTATGTGACCGTTAAAATGTATCTACGATTGTGTCAAACATATCCAAATTTACCACTCTGTGGACTTGTAGAAGAATATTTTTGTTGGTGATTTTAGTTTCACGAAACATTTTGGTGTAGTTGAGATAGATGAAGATTTGAGGTTGAACATTAGGACATGTTTAGTGGTGCAGAGTGCATGCTTGTGCATGCCATCTTGAACCTCAGATCATCATATAGCATGGGTCGAGGGGATTGTGCCCCTGGCGTTGGTAGGCCCTCTAGGGTTTTGAAACGGTATACTAAGTAATAGTCTGGAAGGTGGGTAGTTTTCTGAATTGTTTTAGGTGTGCAACCTTCTAAAATTCACTTCAGAGGTGCGGCTAAAATTCAGAAGACTTGTCTTATTCTAAGCTTTGGTGCAATTACTGTATTGATCTTATATGCTGGTATATAGTAACTAAGGGGCTCTTCTTAATAAGAGGTTTTTATACAGTAAGAGGTAGAAGTGTTTACCAAAATAAGAAAAAAAAAATACTAGTTGCTGACCGAACACTTTTGTTGTTGACCAGACTACTGATTATGATTAGAGATACATACCAATCTGACTATAGATAGCGATGGGCTTTTTTTTTAATTTCCTTTTTTACCCCTAGTCAAAATTGGTATTTATCCACCCACCACCAATCACCAATGTTTCCCCTTTTCAATCTATCCCATACTACCCCTAACCATCTCACTTCTCATATATTCTTTCTAAAACTATTTCATTGAAATTCGTAGTACAAGTTATTTTTACCAAATATGGAAGTTTTTTCCAAAATCCAAGAAAATGGGGATTTAAAGACTTTAAAACTACATTTAACAAAAAAAAAATTATATTTCATTTTTAATATTTCAATAAAAAAATTATGAGGTGTTGTATAATGAATTTTAAGGTCTATTCATCTTTTCTTTAGTTAAAGGTACGGTTTTTTAAAATATACTTTTGGTGTTTATTATTTTGACTACACAAAAAGAAGAAAGAATCTCCATTTAAAAAATAAAAGGGTATAATAGTCATTTACACCCAATCAATACTTAATACAAAATATGATGTAAACAACAATTTCTGATCAACAGTTATCGTAGTCAGTCATCTTATTCTAGTCAGACCTCTTACAGTGATCGGTGGATGGTGCATACCAATTTTTTTGGTAAACTAACCCTTGATATTATGATTGAACTACTTAACCACCACAAATTAACTGCTATAATAACTACGGATAAATACATACTTTTTGTCCCATTCTCTGAATAGATGATAACAATCTTACCACTGAAAATTTGAGAGGTTTTTGATTATCCCCAATACAAATTTCAAGGACCCAAAGCTTATTGTATTTGGAAAATGTTTTCTGACCCGATATTTTATCAGATTATCTAAAACTTTATATCCCTTGTCGAGGTGCTTTTAGGATGCACTTCTCCATTGATACAAAGAATGGAGACATACAATGCAAGAGGAAATTAAGGAATCTTGAATTTATGAAAAAGCAAGATGACACAAAGTTACATTTTCTGAGAGTTTCAACTAACATGGACCCACCACATCACACCATCATATTCGTTGCCAATTTGATGAATTTGTTTTAGACTTTGTACAAATATACATACAAACACACTCCTGTATATTTCTTTAAACGCAGGGCCACGTGCAGCTCGTGCGATCGTACAGAGCATCAAAGCCTAAAGGGGCATCAAATTGTCATTTATTACTAGTTTTGAGTTTAATAATTTGAGAATTGGACAACCGAGTTTTAACTATAAAAACATGTCCAAGGCCTAGTAGTAATGAATATATGTCCAAGGCCTAGTAGTAATGAATATTGAATGCATATCGTTGGAAAAGTTTTTGTTTATATAAAGTTGTCTGTATGAATAAAGTTGTTTGTATAAATTAATCTATTTGTATAAGTGAGAAAAGTTTTTGTTTGGGAGAGAGTTTTTATTCGCAGATGTAAGGAATGTTTTTTTAGTTGAAAGGGACATGTTTGGAAAAAAAATTAGTTTTCTATAAAACTCCCCCTAAAAGCTTACTGGATAAGTCACTTTCTATATCGTTAAGCCACTACGAAACAGTCATGCATAGTTGAGTGAATAAGGTGTTAGTTCCATTAAACTTATTAAGCTGCTAACAGATAAGCACTTAGCCTTTAATCGTTGGATCTGTAACTTTTAAGTTTTATTTTTTGCTTACTATGACGGTTAATATAATTTACTATTTTAGTTAAAAACTAATTATAGTGTTTCTTGTCTTTTAGGTTTCATATATTGAAATAAAGTTTCTATTTTGCTAATTTCAATTTGGAAAAAAAAAAATTAAAAAAGAAGGAAACACGATCTTAATCCATGATTTATCATTTTATATTTTGTATTCAAGGTTTTGGTTTTTATGTCCCCTCCATTGTATTTTTTTTTAATTATAATTAATAAAAATCAATATCGGAATGAGATACTTAGCTTGAATAAATTCTGAACTCTTTAGAAAATCGCATGTTTCGTTGTTTTATTGGCTTAAATTTTTTTGGCTTAGGAGCATTTTTTATTATTTTCGCTTAGGTCACCAAAAATCTTAAAACCGACCCTGTTTATACAACGCATCTGTATCAGCATTCAGCAACACAAGTTTTTAGCAATAAGATGGTTGAAGTAGCTTATTAGATGCTGCAAGGAAATGAATGAAGAATTTGGTTAAAAATCTGAATGGATTGACCAGACTGTATTCTGGAAAAAAGCAAATCAGACATTTAAATAATAATATTAGGAAACTGTGGGGGAGAAGAAAGTGTTGCAAGGATGGAAATGACAACTAAAAGCATGATGTTCAATGAAACTCCTCCTACAACTAAACAGTCTGGCAATAAGTAGCAATTTCAATGGAAAAGGCAAACAATTACGAAGAAGCATAAACAGGGGTGTGGGTAAATCTTTTAGCAAGAAAAATCCACTACTCATCAGCCTTGGGTGCTTCTTTAATTTCCTCAGCACTGTCATCCTGTGTTAAACCCAACATTACAATCCATAATCAGTAAAAATGGTTTTAGCAGAACTCCCTGAACAAAAAGATTCATGTATATCCAAATACCTGCATATCAGAAGTCCACAAAGTGAGGTTGTCACGAAGAAGCTGCATTATAAGAGTGCTGTCCTTGTACGAATCCTCTCCCAAGGTATCCAATTCTGCGATTGCTTCATCAAAAGCCTGGCAGTACATAACACAGATTCATGATCAAAATACCGTTGTGAGCAGAATAAACAATATGGAGGTAAAACATGATTGTGATGTGAGTAGTCTCATCTCTCACCTGCTTTGCAAGATTACAAGCACGGTCAGGTGAATTCAGGATCTCATAGTAAAACACGGAGAAATTGAGTGCCAGTCCTAGTCGGATTGGATGGGTGGGAGCTAGTTCCCCATTTGCAATATCCTGCAAGAATGAAAACGTTACAACTTATTCACTTGCCTTTTTTCAGTAACCTAACATCCATGTACGATTCTAAGTAGCAAAATGGTTGTCTAAGACAAATCAAAAGCAGTTCCTTTGGATCTGCTCTGTTGCAAAAGAGAAACTTAAAACCAACAAAATCCTAGCATTAAGTATGCATCCAATTTCATATTTCCAGATTGAACAAACACCCAAAGTTCAGTATTTGGAGGAGAACGAGCACTGATGCCAAGGAGAACAAGGCAACGGATTCTCCAAAACATACAACAGTTGGTTAAAGATCTGACAATTGCGACGGACCTAGACAGCACTAGGAATGTTTGAGGTAACCACCACATCATAGTTTCCTTTCAATATTTCATTTCAAACTTGGGAAAAGTGGTTCAGTAATCAAACTAGCAACAAATTAACCACTGTAAATAGCATCATATGGCACCTAGTATCGTATAACATAAGTTTAACTACCATTTTAGATCCCATAAACCTATTTAGAAAACTACACAAGTGTCCATTATTTGAAAACATGCCGAAAATAACTAAATCTGCCCCTAGCAAGAATCGGAATGAGTAATTTCATATTTGACTTGAATATACAGCCTAAAAATGAAGCGAATCTAATCTAATAAGGAAAAAGTAAACAAAAGCAGAACCAGTTACCAACGCAACTCGAAGTTATCGACAGAAAACCCTAACCTGAGCTGCCTTGTAAGCGGAGAGAGTGTTCTCGGCAGCTTCTTTCCTCTCAGATCCGGTCTTAAATTCAGCCAGATACCTATAATAATCTCCTTTCATCTTCAGATAAAAAACCTTGGAATCACCGCTAGATGCGGATCCGATGAGCTTCGAATCGAGAAGCTTTAGGATACCATCACAAATCGACGACAGCTCCGTCTCGATCTTAGATCTGTAGTCACGGATCGTAGACACGTGTCCCTCGTTGCCTCGGCTCTCCTCTTTCTGCTCGATCGAGGAGATGATACGCCACGAAGCCCTCCGTGCTCCGATGACGTTCTTGTAGGCAACGGATAGCAGGTTCCGTTCTTCGATGGTCAGTTCCTCTCCGCCTTCAGCGGCGGCAACGACTTTTTCCATGAATTCAACCATTTCCTCATAGCGTTCTGCTTGTTCAGCAAGTTTTGCCATGTATACGTTCTCTTCGCGTGGGGATGATGCGGCCGCCATTGCTGCGTGCTTGTTTTGTGAGAGAGAGAGATCAAGAGAGATCGAGAGAGAGAGAGAGAATGAAATGTGAAAAGAGCAGTCGTAAGTTTCAACCTATTTTGTTTTGCAGAGGAAGAGAGAGATGAGAGAGTGACGTGCGACTAGTGGATGGATGTTGCCACTTTTTACAAACCAGTGAATTCAAGTCCTCCATTATATGGTTGACTCCTTACTTTTAAAACAAAAAATAACAGTAAACTACAAATTTAGTCCATGTAGTTTGTCGAAAGTAACACTTTTCGTCTCTATAGTTTTTAATTCACGAAATGGTTATCAACGTTGGTAATATGGTCTATTTTTTATAACGGTCGTTAAAATATTCCGTTAAGTAACGATGATTTTCATCTTTTTTGATTTTTTTTGTTTTTACCCAATCAAAATCGATTTATAATTTTGATCCATCTAGTTTTTTATCGTGTAAAAGACAAAGTAGATCGACAAAATTATTCCACATTTGATGGAACTTTTTAACAACCATTAGAAAGAAGGACAAAATCCGAACGTTTTTACAAAGCACAATTGTCATCTTGAAATTTCAAAACTACAAGGACGAAAAGTGTTATTTTTGATGCACTAGAGGGACCAAAATTATAATTTGCTCAAAAAAAACTTCAATTTTGCTCAATAACGGCTTTAATCCATTACCAACGGATATCATATGTCTGTGATCTCTAACTTTCTCCGTTAAATCCAATTAAACGAGCGGCAGCTTATAATTATATTCGTTGTAAATTTCGAAAGGTCGTAACTTTTGACTCATATCAGTATTAGTTGTTTAGATTTAATAAAAGTTTTAGAGATCCATATATTCATTATATGTCTGTAATATATCTGAAATAGATTGTGAGAGACAAGGCTTATTTGGTCTTTTTCATTCTCTTTTGTCTCTTTGCCATCAATACACCCATCGTCTCTCTATCACAGACAACAATAAGCTCATGGGTCAAAGACCTTCCAGCCTAGTGGTAAAGGCTTGGGCATGACATAGTCATGAACCCAAGTTCGAGCCCTGGGAGAGGAGTGTTTGCGACATTTAAGTGGGACCATGTTTAGCCTCCAAATTTGCCGGGGATTAGTCGGGCTTTGGCCCGGACACCCTTACAAAAAAAAAACAATAAGCTCATGGTTGTCGAGGTATGGCTTCAGCTTTATTTGCAAGGTATACAGAACAACAAAGAGACCTAGATTGAGACCTGTTGGTTCAAGTTTTCAACCAAATTTGATTCATCTTTTTCCTTCGATTTTTATTTTCTCCCTCTGATTTCCAGGATTCACACATAATCGAGATGAACAAGAGGCTTTTGATATCACCTAGGGGTACCCCTAATCGATTTTTAAATGGATTGAATGGGTTATCCATTCAGTTATTAAATGAGTTATCCAACAAACCACAGGGATGAAGAGGAGGTTGTTGCTGGAGACGGACGGTCTTGTGGATGGAGTCATGAGGGAGATCCTGTGTATTTATATGTATATGTATATGTGTGTATATATATATATATATATATATAAGATTAATATATAATATAACATATTATTAATAAAGCTATAAATTAAAAATACCATATGTCCTTGAGTTAATTGTTTCCATTAACAATGATTAGTCTCAAGGACAAAAACCACAATAACCATCAATGAAATAAACAGATATTAGGGGATGAAAACAAAAATTGTCAACAAACCATAGAGAGAAAAACGTAATTTGCTCTAAATATTAATTAGAGTAAAGTACAAATTTGGTCGTTGTACTTTTGTAATACCCCTAAAATAAGAGACAATTTAAGCCCAATTTCACAAAGAAAAAGAGCCTATGAAATATAAAATCACCCATAAATAGGGAAATAGTATAGCGTTTACAATCCCAAATATATAAAAAAGATAAATAACAACTTATTAATCTAAACTATTCCACATCCAGGTTATAGACTGGTGTCCATCTTCTTTCAAAAGAATCCTGTCAAAGTATAAATGACGTCAGTTCACTAAAAACTATCATCCATCAAAAGTGCCTTTGATGGCAACCACCTCTCCGCTCATACCTTGGGAGTCTTACCACTAAGAGATTCTGATATACATGTCATTTGAGAAAAAAGTGTTAGGCTTAACAGCCTAGTGAAAACAAACAATTATTAAATAAAGCTATAAAACTTTAAAACGGAAAGCATAGCTTTAATCATGATATTTATACAACTCATGCTTACCCTTTGAAAGGGCATAAACCATCTGAAGATGACTGGAGAGACCCCATTTACCATTCATTGTGAGGACACACAAAAGTAAGCCACAAACCAATGTTATAGGAGCATTACTCATAGATAAGCATACACTGACATCAACCAAATCCGGTATATAATCAATCAAGTTAGTAAGCTTATACATAAGTGCACCATGATATCAACCAAATCCAGTATATAGTCAAATGAGATAATGAGCTCATTGATAAGTGCACAATGACGTCAGTCAAATCCAATATATATTCAAATGAGATAATAAGTTCGTTCAATTGGAAATTACATAATAACCACAATGCATATTTCCAAGATATTATAAGAGGGTTTTCGTCCATTACACATTTTATAAAAGAAACCGACTTCTATGTCTATGGATTCATTGCATTCTAGCTGTAAAATATATATCTATCTAGATATATCAAGTTTCACCCATTACAGAAAACACTTGTATATATAATCCCATTAAGGGGGTAAAATCCCATTTTTACGAACAAGACTCAAATGTACGTATATTATAGTTTTGAACTCCAAATACCATAAGACCTTGAAATAATCATTCCCCGAGTATTTTTAAACCATTCCACATACTTGTTTTATCGAAATATTCAAAATCCCTATAATGTCCAATTTTGACCTAGATGGTCCAAAATCAACCGACTGCAAAATACTTGAAATAGAAACTTAAAGGAAGTAAAATATATCCTTTTAACATGTATATGGTTTAGTAAAAGCAAAGAATGAACTCATGATGCTAGGTTTTTGGTGAAAACCTAGAAATCACGAAAACCTTTGAAAAGAGGATGAACACTTGGATCTTGAGGTATGGACTTGAACCCTTAGCTTAGATGATGTTTAAACCCTTTAGGATGGGTGGAAATGTGAAGTAAATTTTCAAGAAAAATGCATTCAGTGAGGAGGTAAAAGAGAAACACGAGAGAGAAAAAAGTTGGTGGAAAGATGAGAGGAAAACCCCATTTTCGGCTCTTTACTGCACCAAACTAACCATCATGTGACCTGGCATGCGACTTAGGTCGCAACACAGGTCACCCGGTCTTCTGACCTAGAGCAAACAGTGGGATACGCAGCTTCCCGCATGACTTAGGTAACGGGGAAGTCGTGCGGTTACTGAAAATCGCCTAGTGAGGTCTTTTACCCCAGCCTTCTCAATTCCCAACATACCACCAATATGAAAGTAGCTACTTAAACTAAATTCCAACCTTGAACTACTAAGCTCGAGATTGAAGACACAAATAAATATATTTACAAAATTTTGGGTGTTATAAGTTTGTCAACAATAACAATATATGATCCTACAATTTTGAAATTACAAGATGGTCGTGGTTTGGAAAAACGTACAGATTCGGTCCATACTTCTAACATCCATTAACAAATTTCGTAAAAGAACGGCATTTTCGTGCTTTTATCGATTTTTTTGTCTTTTACCAAATCAAAACTCACAGGGACCAAAATCATAAGATCAATCTTGATTGTATAAAAAACAAAAAAACCAATAAAAAATACACTTCATTTAGTTGAATCTTTTAACGGCCGTTAGAAAGAGGGACTAAATCCGAACGTCTTTGCAAAATATGATGGTTATTTTATCTATATCTATATCTATACTATATTATAAA